GGGGGGGGGGGGAGTAGTGTGTGGCTTGACTAAACCAAATAAACAAAACAAAAAAAAAACAAACGGGAAAACAAACAATCCAAACCTTTAAGGGGATTCCGGCCAACTCTCCTGTACTCATGTGCTCTTCCACCTGCTCCAGGATGGTGACCAGGTTACAGGAGGATAGGAAGCACTGCATGAAGGAGGCGAGACAACATCCCTTTATGGTGAACTCAAGCTTGTGATAGAAAGGGAAAATAAACCAGCCTAGGTTTCAAAGTGAGAAACTCAACATTCACTTCCAGGATTTTTATCTTGGTCTTTTCTTACGACGCTTCCCTTTTAACACATCAGATGACATTATGCCGGTGGGATATGCCAATATTATTGGTAATTGATGATATCTGGCAGTGACTAACCAGCAATTATTGCCTTTGTCAGGAAATAGGCTTTGGCCACACACAAATAAGATAAAGATTTGTGATTAGGCTTTCAGTTCAGCCCTATAGCTCCCGTTTCCGACGCAATTAAAAAAAGAAAAAATAAAACACAAAAAAAACACACTAGTACTATTTTAGGTCCCTCTATGATACACAAAAATATCAGCATATGTAAACGTCTGTTATAATACTGGTACGTGGCTAGGGCTTACCGAAAGTTTGTGAACCACTCCTTTTGACAGCTTTAGATGGTCTACAACATGTTTTTAAATCATAATGAAATCCAGCCCAATGAATGATTAGATAATTGGTTTACCAGAATTCTATTAAAATAAAAAAAATCTTTTTTTTTTTTTTATATAAATATTTCCAAGCCCGAGAGGACATTTTAATTTGGTCGAAACTCTACATGTCACAAGAGCAGCCCAAGGCAGAGGCTATACAATCTACTAAATAAGCCTACATGAAAAATTGTGATATACATTTCTCAAGCAGTGAAATCAGGGCCTGTGCCACAACATTTGGACAATATGAGGAGGCCGCACCTGAATCTGTTGCTCTCTTTTAGCAGCACAGGGGATCAACAACAGGGAGCCCAGGGAGAAGGCAGGCAGGTTGACTTGGGTGAAGCGCTTCGCGACGCCAATCAGATCCATGTTCAACAGGAATGGGCATCTGGGAGCACAGGGGAGGGGGACCTTTATGGTCTAGGTAACACCCATCCCTTGCAATACTAAAGAGTTAAATGTGTTCATAACCAAAACCAAAGTGCTCAATGTATTGTAAGTAACCAAACCCACGACCATCATTGTGTAGCAATCTCTATGGTGATCTATGTGGAGTACAGCAGCTCTTTTGCTAATCCTGGGTGCTGATGCTTGGTTCTTTACATATACAACTCACACACACTGACAGTACTCACTTCAGAAGGAGAACAAATGTCTTGTAGAGGGTTGTAACCTTCTGAGGGCTAAGAGGGAGGGAAGCTGAAACAGTGGAGATCAATGAGCAGTTTTATCACCGAGAGAGAGAGAGAGAGAGAGAGAGAGAGAGAGAGAGAGAGAGAGAGAGAGAGAGAGACTAAACAGGGAAAGCGATTGTTGTCTTAACCTGTCATAAACGGAGACAAAATAACACTCCTCCATGTTCTTGAGAAGTTTGGCACCTAAAAAAACAAAAAACAATTATACTCTGCAATGTACAAACATCCAAACTTAAGGGGTGTTGGAGTAGGGCAAAAGGCTGCTGGGATTTTACCTCTAAGAGTGAGGGAACTGCTCCTAAGGCCTCCAGAACATTCTGCAAGCAGCTGATCTGAATGGGGATAATTATCACACATAGGTTGCATTCTTCTTGGTAAAACTGCATTCAGGTTATTAGAGAACCCCTAACCTGTTATGAACCAAGGAAAACAAGACCTACTGTATTGAAGCTGAGCAGTTTCTGCAACACCCCGTTCCAGAGTTGGGGGTCAAACACCTGGTACTCCAAGCAAAGGTCGGCCACCAGTCGCACCGCCTACAGTGGGAGAGCCAGTGGATTAAGGGTGCTGTAGTCCTCCACGATGAATGCTTTTCAGTGCCAGTTTGGTCATATGCCTCCACACCTGGGGCTCATGGCTGTGGTTCTTCCATAGGCCCTTGATCAGTCCCTCCTTCGGACTGTTGAGGAATGACTCCACGGTGTATGGAATGTTCAGTGCCTCCAGCTGTGACAGGTAAATGTAGCACTTCAGGTGGTACCTTTGGGAGAGGAGGTGACACCTTATTAGACACCAAAGCCCATGAGGAGGTTAAAGAACTCATAGTGAACAACCCTAAAGAGGTCCTCAATCCCACAAGGCTAATGTACAAGCAGGTTTCCATCCCATTATCACTAAATGAACCTGGATCCAGGAAGCACAAGTCACAAAGCAGGGGGCACCCTAGATGGGATGTAGGAATCTGGAGAACCTGGATGAGAAAGTCATGCAACAAGGCAACAGTATGCACACCCCACACAGTATGCAAGTGGGATTGAACCCCAAAACCTGGAGGTGTAAAGTGACAGTAATACCCAAATTAAACAAATAATATCTTACTGTTTTTTTAAGGGTTTCATGGGAGCTGGAAACCTTACATAGAACACAAACAATCAGAACCTGGGAAGCCCTATTTCCCCAGTAACCTAATGTCATGTGACCTTATTGGAAAGAGGAGCAACTGAAATGGCCGAGTCAGGTGAAGAGAGATCTTACTGGACTTTGTTCCTGGGGATGTGGAGGAGGGTCTCCAACACGGAGGGATCTGCAACATGGATGAGGCACAACAGAGCTCGGGCCTGGTGACTGAAATTCAGGCGGCGACCAGATTTGCTCAAGGGCTGGAAAAATCCAAAAAGGATTTAAATGTTATTACAGAATGAATCCAACACTGGGAACAAAACATCACCGTTCCACAAAGTGCTCATTTGAAGGTAGTCTTAACATAAACCATAAAAACAAGTTAAATGCAAAAAGAAGAAAAAAAAAATTCCCAGAATGGTGGGGGCCAAAGACTTGGCACTAGGAGACTCTGCAGGAGACTCACCCAGGTCTCTGCATTGAGGATACTGCTCAACAAACGAGCACTGAAGTCCATGGGGTACATCTGCAGCAGGTACACCACCCTGGGGGGAGGAGGGGGAAACAATGAGCTCATCTATACATAGAGGAAGGGGTGAGCAAACATGGAGGAAGAAGCCATGGCATACAGTATGTGTGAATGATATCAATAAATCACATACATCCCAAATACTGAAATATAAGATGCGTGAATGTTTTATACTAAACCTAGCATGGGGATACTTAACAAACCTCATGAGGTCTGGGTCTTCTTCAATATTGGTCACAGAGTCCTGAGAGCTTACTTCCTAAAACAGATTAAACCATGAGATTTGAATTCAGTAATAAGGTGAATTATGAATGGTCTTCCCCTTCTAGCCAAGCAGGAAGAAGAAAATATGTGCATATGGCTACATGTAGACTACAAACAACTTAGTTCTTATTGTAAACATAATTTTTGTGATGTTTCTGTAATTTTTCTGCAGTAAGTCATTTCCCACAAGTCTTCTACCTACCTAACGATCAAACCCGAGATCTAAGGACCATGTATTCTGATACACATTCTCATTCCTGACTTAGGACCTTTGATGAAGTGGAGATGGCAGAGGGAGGGACAACTCACCTCGATGGATGGCTCGGTCTTGCACAGCCACTTCTCCAGCAGTATGTCCCGGACCTTTGATAAGTCCACATTGTTAATTTCGGCAATCTCCTTGGCAACTCCATGAAGATCTGTAAATTTATATGATGGAGTAAAAATAAAAAAATACAGTAGGCAGGGGTGTAAACCACTGGCCACAAGGCGATTCGATTAAGATTTAGGGAACGACTCGATGCATCAGGAATCTTAGATTTGTACCACAATTTATTTTGATTGATCATTTATTTTAATAAAAATAAAAGGTTTAGGTTTATGTTATTTTTTAAATCACAAATATGCACATGGCAACTAATTACACACTATTAATTGAATACAAAGAAAGCAGAGTCTCAGGACATTATTTGCTGTCGTTAAACAGGAAGAACAAGCCAGTGTAAATTTTCAAAATGCCAATTACTGAACTGTACAGAGAAACACAGATTTAATAACGAATTACAAATGTCACAAGCCAATACTTTGACAAATGTTATAAGCTTTGATAGATTGTAATTTATAAGGCCAACTGTGTGTTTATTTTAAAAAAATAAATAGCAGTGAAACTGGCAACAATTAGCAGAATAACATCTAATTTTTTTATTCTGTGGATAACTAAAGATCTATTTGAATTATAAACACTGCGGGATGTTTAGAACTGTGCGGTGGGCCAGTACTTCAAGACCTTTAAGTAGTTGCCATCTGTCCCATATTTTACCCGATCATCCCGTATTGCAAAATAAGATGAGGAACTCATATTTTCAGAGAGCCTCAGATCGATCCCCCAAATCCTCCCAATAACTAACAAAACTTGTTCTTCCTTCATTGTTCTGGTGTGACAGTGCAGTTTCCTTGCTTATGAAATTCCGTGTCAAGTTTAACCTACTATTAGTCTCCTATCCTTTTTTAGCATAAAGGTTCCTGTTTGGTGGTGGAAAAGCAACATACAAAAGTCACAAGGAGCTACAAAAGTTCCCATTCAAGATGGCCCAGGAACTCAGAATCAGGTTCCTGAACTTATGGCAAACCATGGCGTCTGTTATACTGGGTGCATCAGGCAATTCCCACCCCCACACCCCACGTACATCACTAACGGTCAGACTTATTCCACTATGTTAGAGCATAGCCCAGAACTGGAGACTGGCTGGTGATTACAGGTTCACAGCCTCACCGGGGCAGGCCTCAGTGGTTGGGTTCTGCATGCGCTGCTCTACGCTGCCGTGCTCCCACAGTGCCTCCAGGAGGCGCACCGGCATGCTGGTCAGCTTTAGGAGCTCAGGGGACTGTAGCTCGGCGGAAATTAGCACTGCCTCCGTGGCTGAGCGCTGATACTGCAGTTTCAGCTTCTCCATGAAGGTCTCCCCCCTCACCCTGGTATCCTCCTGATCCATGAGAGAGTGTTGGTGGGGTCATAAAGAAAAGAATGCAGAATCATTTCAACATGCTGTTGGCCCATGGAGAGAATATGCAAATAGCTACAAAGACAGCACACTTACATCAAGCAGCTCCAAGAATCATCCATCTTCAGTAAGCATACCATAATATACAGTATACACCGATGAGCCAAAACATTATGACCACGCCCACATGATTTAAATAAGGATGACTATCTATAAAAAAAGGCACATGTCTGGGATATATTATACAATAAGCCAACATTCAGTACTTGTTGCTGACGTGTTGAATGCAGAAGAAATGGGCAGAACCTACTATCTATTGATAGCGGTCTGAGGAGGTAAAAATCACAAGCCACTGACAAGATGCTAGGCAGTCAAGACATAATACGAGATGTGAATGAAGGCTGTCCCATCTGGTACAAAGCAAAAGACGGGCTACTGTGGCACAAATTGCAGAATTTTAATGAGTGGAGTTATGTGACGTGACGCACAGTGCATTGAGCCCTGCTGTGTATGGGGCTGCGCAGTCATGGATTGGCCATGCAGCCCCATATGCAGCAGGATTCAACACACTATGTGACAGATTTCTCCTGTGACCATCATCAGAAATGACTTGTCATTTGTGCCCTTCTGTTGGTTCGTACCACACGGGATAGTCCTCATTCACATCCTGCATTGATGAGTCCTGGGTTGCCCAGCACCCTGTCGGCTAATCATGGTTTTTCCCTTCTGTGACCACTCTCTGTAGGTACTTACCATGGCTGACCATGAATACCCCACAAGCTTCAAAGTTTTGGAGATGCTCCGATCCAACGGTCTGGCTCCCTGATCTTAGTCTCTGCCCATTTCTTTCGCATTCAACATATAGACTAAGTACTCAATGTTAGCTTACTGTCTAATGCAGTGGTGCCTGCGGTTCACGAACGCTGTGGTCTATGAACAATTTGGTTTGTGACCAAAAATTTCGTGTAAAAATGCATTGGTTTACATACAAAATTTGGTCGACAAACAGATTCCTGAACCAGATTCCTTTTTATTCTAGTGCGGCACTGGTGGGGCGCATGTCCCAGCATGCCCCAGCATGCCCCGTGTACAACTGTAAATAGAAGGACCACAACAGGCACCCAACGAGCACCGAACTCAAATACAGACGGGAAACACAAGGTTGTCAGACGCCAAACTGTAAGATGCACACGGTGGGAGATTTACACATGCTAAATACGTGAGGATCGGAACGGGTACACACAAGACACGGGCAAACACACGCGCGACAATAAGGAAATGCAACCATTAACATTAACAACAACAACAACAACAACAACAACAACAACAATATAAGGATTAAGGACTGTTAATAAAGAGCGTGATTTTCCCGGCAAGCAAGTCTCCATGTCTCTCTCTGCTCCCGTGATGCCTCAGTTTGCCCATCGCCACACTATATTGTGTTTTTCTTTAAAGTTTTTACTATAAAAACCAGGAAATTAATGAACAAAAAGTATTATTTGGTAGGCTTGTCAACGAATTAATCAAATTTCAATGCTTTCTTGTGGGAAAAATTGCCTTGGTTCACGTACAAATTGGCTCACGGCCACATTCCTTGAACGGATCGTGTTTGTGAACCGCAGACACTACTGTATAACCAAGACCTAGATATGCACCACTTTTACAAGATATTCAACATTATTTGCGTCAGGTGGAGGAGGTCATAATAAATTTGGCTTAGCAGTGAATAAGCCTATTTATCCTGGTCAGCTTACACACATTCATAACAGTAACAAGACAGTAAATGTATGATCCTAAAATATGTTCAGGATTGTTAACCTCCAGCTCCGGGACCTGCAGCCATTTCTCCCCAAGGGCCAGGCAAAACTTCAGGGACTTTGTCTTCTCAATGCCTGTCGGGAAATAAAACAAACACCCAGGTGATTCTCCTCTGTGCTCCAGCCATGGGAGAGCTTCCTGGAGACAGCAGCGGACTTGGCCTGACCTGGCGGTAGCTCCTGGGAGACCCTGTGTATGGTGGCCGCCGCCCACTCAGGGTTCCTGATGCACAGGATGTAGTCCATGATGGTCCGGGCCGTCCTGGCTGCCTCCTTGCCTGCAGCTAAAGAGGCGTTTTTCTTGGCCTGCTCAAGGAGCTGTGGCTTCAGTTTCTTTTCAAACATGTGGTTCACGGCTGCCATGTACAGCTTATCCACATTTACCTAAAAACCAGTCAGTAAAGGAGAATTCGGAACTGAGTAATCTACACACAGCAGTATCTTCCCAATTTCCAAATACTGTAAATTCTTCACAGTAAAGTACAGTAAAAATCTTGCTACTTTTTTCTTACAGCAGCGTGGAGTACATCCTGAACGGGGTGTCAGTCTATCACAGGGCACATACTCAATCGTAATCTACAGACCAATCAAAGGGCGCTTTTCTACCGCACAAAGTACGGTACTTTCGCTTTTCCATTGACTTCTGGTCGAGTACCAGTACTGAAAATTTTAGTACCGAAAGTGCCAAACCAGCTGGGGTACTACTTGGGTACTTCGGTACTTTGAGGTGGGACTTGCAAACGTATTTGCTGTCGATTGGTTATGCAAATAGCCTGCCGCTGAAACACAAAATACAACCGCCATCTTTTGAAACACACAGCGAACAGATCGCGATCACAGCGAGAAACAAAATAAAAAGCAGTAGAAACAAAAATATAAAAAAGTAAAATGGAAGGATGGACAAATGAGGAAACACAGGCTTTAATCGCCATGTGGTCGGATGAACAGATCCAGCAGGATTTGGATGGCATGACTCGAAATAAAAATGCTGTTAATAGCAAGCCGCTTGGAAGAAATGGGGCACACGTGAAACACCGAACAATGCCGCTTGAAAATCAAAAAACTTAAGCAGGACTACAGGAAAATGAAGGATTGAAATTCCGTGTCAAGTTTAACCTACTATTAGTCTCCTATCCTTTTTTAGCATAAAGGTTCCTGTTTGGTGGTGGAGTGAAATAATAACATAATAACAGAATTCAGCAAAAGAAATAATGCGCCGCGCTTTGTGATGATGTCAGTCAGGGGCGGTCACTGATTATGTCATTTGGTGCCGGTACCAGTTTTTATGCCAGTGGAAAACCGACACAAAAGAAGTACCATACTTTTGGTACTTTATGGAAGTACCGAAAGTACGGTACCTGGTGCGGTAGAAAAGCACCCAAAGAGACCAGTTAGCCTAAATGCATGTCTTTGGTCTGTGGGAGTTCACTGGTACAACACAGGGAGAATATGCCAACTATACACATACATGGTGGAGGCAGATTTTGAATTCTGATCAATTTAAGAGAAATTGTACCAATGATCCAATGTTATACAAAGAATGTATTTTGAGTTTAGACAGAGCAAGCATGTAAATGGTTGATAGATACTGATGCCAGCCCCCTTTATTCAACTGTAACGAAACTGCCCTTTTACCTTCATCAATTTGGTTATGAGCAGCAGTGTGGGGAAGGTCTCTTCACTGAGCTCTGATGCTAATCGGAAGTGGTGGAAAAGGGGAGAGAAATTGAGAAACTCATTAGACCATTCAGGTATTAACGTACTAGTGGAACCACTGCATGCAAACGGCCCAACAGCTAACAATATGACTTCTGCATCTCCATCTGAATGGACCTCAGACTTTATGTTCGCTAATGGCGCAGGGTTTCACTTCCACAGTGGCTCCCCAGGGTCCTGTACTCACTGATGATCTTCCAGAAGCAGCGGCCGGTTTGGAAGAGGAGATGGAAGGGCAGGCGAGAATGGGCCAGAGGTGTGGGCTCCAGGCCGTGCTCCAGCAGGTAGCTGCTCTCCAGCTCGGTAGGTGGGGAGATACGTTTGTAGGAGCTTAAGTGCTGGAGCAGCCCCACCGCCTGTGGATGCAGCCAGAGCCATGACACGCACGCACATATGTTTTTATTCATATCTTTGTGGGGACTCTCCATTCGTTTATGGGCATAACCCTAATCCCCAACCATGACAACCTTAACCCCTACCCAGCCCGAACCTTAACAATAAGTAACCAAACAAAATACAAGACGACTGCATTTTTAGTTCTTTCACCACATTCACAGATTTTTATAAAATTGAGGTTTATATTGTGGGGATCTGGGAAAAAAAAAAGTCCCTGCAAGCTAAAAAGTGACAGGTGTTACCACATCGTGGGGACATTTGGTCCCCATAAGGTGATAAATACAAACCCACACACAATCTCTTACAAATCCAGGTACCTGATCGAGAGGGAAGCTGGCCATGGTTTCTCCAGTTGTCTGTATGATCCTGAGAACTCCCTGGATTCTTTCATAGTTGTACGGACTAAGCTGTGTAAGAAGAAAAGAGGGGTTAGCATCTGTAACAATGCATTTTCTGGCTCAATGTTCCCTGTAAATGGCAATGCAAAGAATGATATAGCATTACGCAAGATACTACAGATGATCTACAAAACATTGATGCATTAGTGATTAGTCATTTTAGAGAAGATTTTGCCATTCAAGTGTGAGGACCACAAAGCCCAGCTGTGTGACCCTAGCAGCCCACCTTGAGCACGGCCGCATTAAGGCTGACGACCAGCTCGCTGGTGCTCTGTAGCTGAGGAATGATCATCAAGGCACGCTCAAGGGTGTCGGCATGGTCCAGTCTCCCCTCCTGGGAGGCTTCTGAGACACCCAGACTCTCTTCCAGCTTCTCCTCCAGCAGCAAAGTTGTGATGTACAAGTTGAGGGCAGAGTCACTCTCCAAGTCAAATGTGCTGTGAAGAAGACAGTTATGACTTTTTGCTTTTAACAAATGTACCATCTGCTGCAAAGAGATTAATCCTAATGTATGATCATGTTGTTGAACTTTTATTGGGAACTTTTAACCCTGGATTCATTTAGGTCTGTGTTTCTCAACCTACTGGGAAAAGTCAAGCTGGTCCTGATGAGACTGCACTAACATATTCACTCGGGCTGGACTCACCACTGCCCCAAATTAGCAAGTAGCAGCTCACAATCACATTCCTGCAGAGATTCATCAACCCCTATTCCTCCCATTCCTTTTACTCCTGACCCAAGTCATCCAAGTCCACACAGAATGGGGTGGGTGCTTCCTTCCTTACTTTTAGCATCTCAGTGTTGTGCCACTTCCCAAAAATAACCAATGTGGTTCCATAAACTCATTTCTGAGGTACAGGTACACATGTGCTTCACTGCAGCCAGCAGGAATAACCTCATACATCTGAAATCTTACAATGATTGGGGGGGCTGGGGCGGGTGACCCAGTTACCTGCTCCTCACAAAGTCACCACTCCATACAGTATCTGTAAGTACTGGATGGAACATCTGGACATGTTTTTACCTAAATGATCCAAGTTCTAGTCATAACACACAACTCTGAAACCACACATACTCATTTATTGCACACTCCACATATATACCAGTTCAGAAAATCCCTCCCTGCCAGTTATGTGGTTATCTATATTTCTTTGTGTACATCTTAACATCCATGTGTTAAAGTGTTATTTATATTATTCATATTTTCTATGTCTATTTATATTCTATTTATTTCTCATTTGCACTACGACCATCATGTTCCGTGACATAACAGTATGAATTCTCTTCCTGGAGTGGCCACGCAGTTATTTTTGGGGGCCTGATTTAAACCATGAGCACAGTTTAAAGTTCCCAAAAAGCACCAAACCAAGCTCACGTAATCCATAAAACGTGCACTTGATTTTTATGCTCTCAGTTTCCTATTTTAGGCTCTTGAATTTAATTTTTAAAGTTAATTAAATGCTATATTTTAGGATATTTGTGTTCTTCCATAAAGAGAATGTGACCACAAAGCCAGAAGGTGCAGTGAGTGTGGTATAAAAAGCTATGGGTTTTATGGTGGTGAATTTGTTGACTCAAATCTTGCTCCCAAACCAAATCTGTCTTATTCGACAAGACTTGGCACTTGTCCAAAGCTTCAACTAATTGCATGACAGAAGTTAGGTGCTATGGTCATCTAATTCTTAATAGTGTGCATAGTGAAATCCAAAACATGCATACATCTCTGAGCCCGTATCTTTATAATAAGGCATGATATGTCTCTTATTATAAATCAATTCCCCTGAGCTTTTTCAATGGACAAAAGTAGATTTTGGGGTGATTCAGTTAGCATTTACATATTAATCTATCAGGTGTTTTTTTGCCTTTTATATTAATGAATAGGCTACACAGCTGTAAAATACTGTTTTGCTGTGAATTACATTGCAACACAAAAACACAACAAAAGCTAAAACATGGTCGCAGTGGGAAAGCACACCTATAGCTGCTGTTGAGTTTTGACCCTCCTCACATCCCCTAAGTGGCAGCTCCAGATGACTGTGCCAATGCATACAGCAGTAATATTCCACCAAATCAGCAGAGGTCAGATGTATTGCAACAAACACTAATACAAACAGTGTATTGAAATGGGTAAACTGTTTGAACAGTTGTAAAGTTACTAGGCTTGAACAGTATTAATGTAATACAGTTCAATGAATTTTAAAATCGCGAATATTTCTAAATGCCAGCATATTGCATTTAGAAATATTCGTGATTTTAAAATTCATTGAACTGTATTACTCCAACTCTGGTCCTGGAGAGCTACTATCGAGTAGGTTTTCTGTCCCACCTGGCTTCTGATGAGCCATACCTGCTCCTGGTATTTACCTGAGAACAGGTGTGGCTCATCAGAAGCCAGGTAGGATAGAAAACCTACTGGATAGTAGCTCTCCAGGACAGGAGTTGGAGACCCCTGACCTAAACAGTATAAAAAATTAGATATCCCAGCAACTCTGCACTTCCTACAAGAACAACTATTCTTCTTTCTTCATTAACCACTGCTCAGTGAAAGTCAGCATAGTAGTCCCAAAACCATATCTATTCCCCATCTGGTTGCAGGAATAAAATGGGGGGGGGGGAATAAAATTAATACTGGGCCCTTAAAAATGACTATTTAATTAAATCTGAAATAATTTGTCACTTAAAACACCTACTGGCTGGTAACGTAATGATTAAGGAGTAAGTACCTAAATCCCCCTCCCCCTACATACCAACAGTGAGCTAAACTCTACTTTTACCAGCTCAAACTGGAATTAAAGACAACAAGCACAGGTGGTCACGAGGAAAAGGATCAGGGACTGAGATCGCTTTGAGTGACCTGATGGCAGCAGCAAGTTCAGCCTGGGATAAAGGAGGCAGCATGTGGAGTCACCTGCAGTACTGGAGGAGAAGCTCAGGTGTCATGTTCCTGTTCTTCACCAGTGTGGGGACCAAGTTCTTCTTTATCTCAGGGCACTGCCTGAACACGGGCTGGAAGGAGATCTGCAGATGCACGGATAGGATCAGCATGCACAGCACTGGGGATCTACAATATTCCCCGTTTAATTGTTAAGCAGCATGAAATTCACCAAAACAAAAGCTGCTGATAAAGTACCAGTAATGTCTCTTTAAATGTTTATGATGAGTGAAGGAGCTCTCTCACTGGAGAAGGTGCCAAGAAGCGGTGCTTCCTGCATTATTACCCATTGCATCAACTTTTAAACTGTGATTATTAGTACCTTTTGCCAAAGATTTACTAGTGATTATCTGAGAAAGGAAATATGAAATAATGAATACACAAAAAATGGAGTGAGAAATAGAGAGAGAGAGGCGATGATCTTGCACACTAGTGCTTCCCCAAGGGTGAAGCTTCACACTCTAGCTCAAGAAGGACCACAGTGATCTTGGGCCTAAGTTGCATAAATTGGTTAAAAAGCAGATGGATACATGGGTACAAAGATGATAAATGACATAATCTACGTCAATGGGAACATTTAGCACTAACCCCCAGCTTGCCCAGTTTGATGCCCCACTCTGTGTCAGTGATCAGGGACAGGAACTTCTGACGTTGCTCCTCCTCCATGAACAAGCTGCAAAGATGCACTCCGACCATGGACACAGCCTAATAAACACATGAACAAAAGTAACACACATGAATAGTTTGGAAGGACCAGGAACAGTTCTCTGGGGAGCATCTTTCATCTGAAAAATTTAAAAGCATTTTGAAAACCTAAAAAAAGCTAGATGTTGGTTCAGTTTTTCCACTCTTCTCTTGGAACTGAAAGCATTTCTGCTTGGTCTCAAATTGTCTCAGACTAGAGGATGTAGAGGCTGTTTATTTTTTAAAAGACAGTCTCAGAGTACAATACCACCTTGGAAATTCTTTCAGAACAAACAAGACATTGCTGCCACCTGTGTCCCATATATCACAAAATTCTGTACTGAAAAATAAAACGTTGCATCACGTTTTCAACCAGGTCTTGAATCAGACTCGATACAGACAGACAGTCTTCTCCCTATTGCTAGCTGTCACAACGATGACAATGGTTGCCCTGGACTGTCCTGTCATCCCATATGAAGTATAGGTTTAAATTAATGTAGAACTGGTCGATATGACAAACAAAATTATCACGATATTTTTTCCTGTATTGACCGATATTGATAATTATCAATATTATAGTTTCACAATGCTGTTCCATGTAATAATGGAATAATCAAAAAAATTATTAAAACAACCATATTCTGACAAATAAAATGAACACATTGAATTAAACAATATTAGTAAACAAATATTTTCCAACAAATTTTACTGTTTACATACAAAATTCCCTTAAAATTATAAAAGGTTATTGGTTTTCAAGTATTTAAAGAAACATAGCTCAAATTAACAAAACCATAATAATGTAACAATGTACAAAACAGTATAATATTACAAATACAGTGGTACCTCAGTTCTCGAACTCGAATTTATTAAAAGTCAAACCAACCAGTTTGAAAAATTACATAGAGCTCGATCTGAATCTCAGAAGTCAAACCGGGAACGCCGACCTAAGATAACTTGTATGAGTGGGGAAATGAGTCACGCGGCACGTCTCTCAGCGGAAACAAAGGGTAAAGCTTCAGTCTCAGCCAGGCATTCGCTGTGATAGCATCGTGCATGTTTACACTAGCTGAATACATATATTCGCGGACAGCTTAAGTTGAGGGAGGCGTAAAAACAATTTCCCCCACGGGGATCAATAAAGTATCAATTATTATTATTATTATTATTATTATTATTAGACAGTAAAAATACATAGACAATGATAGACAGTAACAATAATTATATAAAATACATTAAAATAAAGATTTCTTATTCATTATTTTAATATTAATAATAAATCATGAATACATTTAATTATAATAATATTGTTGAGCCCAGTGGGGACAGAACGGAGACAAAGGCGCCGACACCAGGGTATCGGGGAATACGGGGTTTAATTACAGGTAAGGCAGGCAAAATGCAGACAGACAATACAATGACCGGACTGGGGAAACAAACTGAAATGCGGACGAAATACAGAGGACTAATGACAACCAGAAACAGCTGATTACACTGGGATTCCACACGGGGTTAAAGAGGGGGCGTGGCTCATGGAAGGAGCTGACGATCGGGGCAGGATACATTGTTTTTTTTAACTTTACACATTGTTTGGATACATTTATTTTCTTACTTTACAAATTACTGTTTTGATAAATGTGCTTAGATGTGTTTAGTACAGTATATGCTCTTCTTTTATCCGGTTCATTTTGTGTTTAAATGCTAATGAACATATTTAGGTGTAATTTTTTGGGGCCGGGAACCAATTAATTGGTTTTCCATTATTTCTTATGGGGAAAATTCGATCAGAACTGGAACTGATCAGAGTTCTGAACGGATTAAGTTCGAGTTCTGAAGTACCACTGTATGTTAAAGGGCAAACAAAATAAAGCAGGACAGAACTGACTGCAACAAGTATCTGCCTCCATTCTTGGTCTTTTAAAAACTTTTTTAAATACCGAGGTAGAAAAGTATCTAAACCAAACGAAAAAACACTTATTAAAAAAAAAAATGCCAGATCATGGTTAAATTTTTTGTCCGGCGCTGCGAAACGTTACCACGCATCACCATGTCACATGGTACAAAATCCTCGTGAGAGCAAGACGACTTCAGACAGATCATGCAGCGCCTCTCACCCAGCTGCACAAACTGGAACCACTCTGCAATTTATGCCAATCAATGCCTATCTCACAAATCTCATTGGATGTGCCATTGAATTTTAAATTAAGCATTTGTAGGCCCAAGACCCGTTTAAATAGGTTAATTGTAAAATCAGGGCTGAGAAACCTGATCGTGGATCAGCACAGGAGTGGGCTTGTTTTAAAATGGTCACATTTACTCCACCTTGCAACCCTTTTGGAACTTGCCGCAACCTACATTTGGGTCACGACCTATGGGTTGAGAAAAGATCCTTGTGTAGTCTTGGCAAAAACAGTCTTGCTAACTTGCCTCCCAAGAATGAATCATGGGATTGTTCTTATTTGGCAAGGATGCAACCAATGCATTCTGGATATTTGGGGTGGGGTAAGGATGACATCTGGAGATTTCTATGGTCCATTGTCCTTAAGAACTGGTCTTCAGCAATGGAGCATGAAAGCTAGGGGTGTCCAAGTATTTTTTGTGAATTTTCACATTAGTGGGGATCTTCCACTCCCAAACCTCATGAATGTGAAGGGGATACTGTATAATGTTTTTTTATCTGAAGCAGTAATAAGATCCAAATACTTTTTGACTTATCAATTGTCTGCTTTCACTCTTCCCTTTGCATCTACTATGTGGCGTTGCTTCACTTTCAAGTGTCTGAAAATGCCTTTTTTGTCAGCTGTGAGTCACCACTGGAATCTGTGTCAAAATCTTTGATTTGATCTGTTCCAGTTCATCACCCAGAAAAAGCGCCAGCAAAACTTGAAAAAGATCTGTCAAAGACTTTGAGTTACGCATTAACGAGAAAGCGTCTGCGGTGGTGGCAGGTCTGTTCTAAAACCTTATGCATTCACCATAAAAAAAAATTAAACAAAGTGATGACAAAGATAGGCTACGCCAAGAGACTAAAGGGCACATAGTTTAACGTCATCTATGGTTAACCTCACATTGATCGGGTGAGCCCGTGGATGTCTTAAGATGTTGCTGCATTGCATTTGTGCTGTTGGTGCTGTTATGCGATGACTGCATTTTCATTCACTGTAAATGTGAAGGGTTCCTACATAACTGAGGCTTTTACTCTCTTTTTATATGGACCCTCATCGCCCTCTTCTTTTTGCCATATTGCCGTGTAATTGAGAAGTGATTGAAAAGGCTAATAAATAAAATAAACAAATAAATAATAATAAAAAGTGATAATGACGGCTACAAATTGTGTTAAACACTGTACAAACACCTCTGTGCAGCCTGAACATTTCATTCACAAAGAGAATAAGCCTGCTGTGATCCTACCAGTATCTTCTTGTAGTTATGCCAAGTGTCATTGATGACCTTCCAGAGAATCTCCAGCACGTCCTTCTTAGGAAGCAGCGTACAGTAGCCGATAGCCAGACTGCAGTCAACTACTCTCCAGTTAAGCACCTGAATCAGAAAAGATCAATAAAAATAATGAAACACATCCACGCACCTTCCAACCACTTATACTTATCAGGACTGCAGGGTGGTCTGGAGCGCATCCCAAACAGCATAGGGTACAAAGCTGAGACATACTATGAAAGGGATGCTAGTCAATCACAGATCTGTAGCATGAGCATAAAAATCCACCCAGATGACATCAAATAAAATTAAGTACTTAAATGCTTCAATAAATTTCTTGACTTACAGACATCCTGAGCATGTCTGCAAGCAAGTCCTCATTGTACTAATGTTCTACTGAATGTATGTATGAAACTATGTATGAAACTGTATGTATGAAACTACAAACTAGTTATACTAAGTATAACAGTCAATCCTACTTTCTGATGTTAAAACAAATCCAGACGATGGGGTTACACAACAGGGGTCACACCATTTTAACTGCTGTGCTGCATTAAACCTGGGAAGGGATGCACATCTGCACCTCTACCTTGTGCAGAAGAGCAACTGCAATGGTCTTGATGGAAGCCAGGGTGCTCTTCCCGAATTCGGCTAAGCACTTCCTGTCTCTCAGCAGCTGCTGGTGGCTGTGCAGCTGAAAGAGGCCAACAGATTGGTGAGTACACCTGAAAGGTCGACATGCCATCCAATCAGAGTTGAGCGATGCCCTCCCTCCCTAATGCCCTCCCCCTACTTGTGAACTGAGGCCCAGGTCCATGTTGTTGGTAGCGACGTGCTGGAGGCAGCTGCCAAAGGAATTGGTGAGCAGGCGCAGTGCCAGCTGCAGCTGGCTGCACTCCTGCAGGCTCTGCAGCATCATGGCCACCGGGCCCAGCAGGGGTGCCAGGAAGTTCATGTCTTAGTAGGGGGGGGGGGGGTAAGAAACGGAGCAGGGACCAAATTCAGCCAGACCAGGAACAGTTCAGTTGGCTCAATATTTAAGGTAGGTAAAAAAATATATATATTCTCAGAAAATGAAATCAATGAAATCAAGGAATAATGCTGTCATTCTTCATTAAAGCTTAAGTTACAGAAATGAAGGAACATTACTGTTGCAAGAAATACTCGAAAAATTAAAATATAAATAATATTCAAGAAAAATACATATCTGAATAACCAAAATTCATGAGTAGTTCATATTCAGACCATGTAATGGGGGACCAGTACTACTCATCTAGTAAGCAGTGCACACATACCACACAAGTAAAACATAAAAAAGGCAGTTACAAGTCAACATGATCCTCCTAGCACTGCTCCAGTGCACCCAAAAAGCTCTGAAGTATGGGAGCGTTTCCAAAACAGCTGTAGCAATGCTAAGCAAAATATCTAGTATCCGAATATTCAAATATGAATATATTTGATAGTTGCAGCCCTAATGAACATACTTACCTTCTTGGTAAGACAAATTGGACAGACAGGAACAGTCCAGAGGATACAGTTTTGAGTCTACAACATAAACAAGCACAGAACTCTCAGTTGGTCTCGCACTCCATTCAAGCACTCCCAACCTGCATCAGGAGGGTTTAGCTGTAGGTCTGTTCCACCAAATCAGGCGGGACATAGCACAGGACATGTCACAACAGAAGAAAGCACCATGAATAGTAGACTATATAAGTTGTGTAGGTGTTTAAAATAAAAGCAACTAAGAGGACATGAAACGTATCTCTTGTTCGCCATCGCACCTGAGGCCAGAGGAAGAAGGCTGTTGGTGATCTCATACTGGACTGGAAGAACAGACACGGGGTCCAGAACAATGCCGTCCTCGTTGAAGAAATGCTGGAAGCTCCACTCTGTGTACGGGTCGCAGTCCGAATCTGGGCACGAGTCCTGACGACATGATACAACGTCATGCTAGCCACAATACTGGTAACCCATAGCTTTGCATGCTGTTTAAGATTACAGATTCAGCTGGCTGGTTGAGTCCCAGAAGGGGATTGCTGCTCTACTTTTGAAATGAACCGCTAAAAAAAAAAAACACATTAACACCAACACCACCAACCACCTTCTGTGTGGAGAAAGAAAAACCCCCCCGACTCGCCGGGCCTGGGAGGAACTGAGCAGACAGCCACCACATTAGGAGTCATGACATCTTCGAACCCCAGGAGGAACACAGCAAAAAGGGGGCAGGGGGGCAGAGCCCAGTACCTTGGCAGTGAATCCGTAGTCATCGATCTGGCACTGCTGGTAGACGTCCATGGCCGCCCGCGTGCTCTTACACAGCTCCATGCAGTCCAGCAGCAGATCTGCGGGGCAGAGCGGCAACACTGGGTCACACATGCAATAACCCAAAATCACAGTCCCGCGTCAGTTGATCAGCATCCCTCAAGGAGTCCATCTTTAGCATTGGGCTCTCCAGAATGTAATCCAATGTAGTGGCACTCGGGTTCAGTCTTGAGTGCTCATACGAATGGATGTTTTGTCATGCCTGCACAGTGGGCAGACCGTTTTGGGAGCACGAGTGAGTTGGTGCTTGATGGTTGTGTTCAGTCCAGTTAAGGGCTTGTGTTAAAAGGGGGGAAATTTGGAGACTGGCTAAAGATACGGTCTTGACATAGACTCAAAGACAACTGAGACATCACTGCCCCCTGCTCCATGTGCTGTACCTGGGTGGCACACCGTGATGGCCTGACAGGCCAGGGTGTGGATGGCGGCAGGAAGGTTGAGGCCCTCCGGAATGACCATGGGTACGTTCTCTTCCAGCATGTGACAGAGCTTCTGGGCAGCACTGAAGAGCACCCTGCCCGTGCTGGCGTTGTAGTGATGCTGAAACAGCTCCCTGTGGGGGGGGGGGGGCAAACAGGCAGATGAGCAGCAAATCACAGCTAGTCATCACTCCATTTGGTACAATCCAGGAGATCTCTGAGGAACATCAGAGGCTGTAAATCATAACCCTGACAAACAGGATTAGTCCATCACAGGGCAAGAGCGGCCTAATAAACTGCTGATTTACAATGACAGGAGCCAATGACAGTCCAACCATAACGTTATATAGGTCTAAAGCTAATTTAGACCTATAGAGTTTTTAAAGTGAATTTATTAATAAAAACACACACACATCTTCGTCCACATTCTTAAGATACCTTCAGAAACACCCATTTATGGCTGCGACTAACCAACAAACCAAACACCATCTCAATAAGACCTATTGTAAATTGCATCAGCTACATGTTACCCGCAGATCTTCAGGGCCTTGTCCACCTTTCCCACCCCCAAAGCTCTCAGTGCGAGGTCGGCCCACAGCTCCGGCTCCGAGCGCTGCAGCTGCCTGGCCAGCCGGCGCAGCCCAGCCTCTGTGGAGAGGTTCCTGGTCTTGCCGTCGGGATCGTTGGCCACCACTGGCGTGGTTCCCTTTGGGTACCGCCCATGGGCGTGGGTGTTCTCATAGGCTGTGATGTGCTGCTCCTGAAACTGCAAGCGCAGGGCTTTGTCTGCGTAGTCCTCCGGCGACAGGAAGATGTCAAAATCCTCCTGCGGGTAGTAAGGTCAACAGCTCCACACAGGCATCTCTTTAGCCACCATCACAGAGGTCCTAAACTAAGTCCCTAAGGGGCTGTGTGGGCTGGTCTTTCCTAAATTCCACCCAAACAAATGGAGAACACACGCACCAGATCCTGACCATAACAGTCAAACCTCCCCTAATCATCATTAATACTTTTAAGCAATGCAGCATTTAACTGCTGTATTGGACGGACGTATTCATGGCACTGGCAGGTCAGCTGACTTGAGGGACTGAGTGAGTAATAAGGAGACACACAGCCCCATGAGGAACAGAGATCACAGTAAAGAAAGCACGACCATGAAAGAAACAGCATCAGGTCATCTTCAGGTTTTAAATATCACCAAAACAGGGAGTGTGTTTCCAGATGGGTGACTATGCACATTAAAGGGAGGGTGATGCAGAGTGAGAGCGTCTCTGCAGGCTCCCCCGGGACTCGCGGATTCATCAGCATACCTGCAGGTTGGCAATGGCCTCAAACATCTTCAGGTCATTCTCACACACCAGTCTTTTAAAGGCATCGCCTTTAAGACAGAAAAAAAGGTCTGTTAAAAACATGGAAATGTACAGCTGCAATCAGAAAGGGTGACATTATTGTAACTTACAATACTGCTGCTTATCCAATTTCAAACTTATTCTAACATGAATAGATGTATTTTAATCATATTTCATCAGTGACCACGTTACAAAATAAATTGAAGAAACAGGAAATTTGAAGAAGGCATGCGATCAAAATTANATTTTTGTAATTTATAAAGTCTCTGCTCATTTGAATTTTTCTAACATGAATAGAAGTGATGTCATTTAAACACATTTCATCAGTGAAAACTATCCCACAATCTGCAATCAAAATTAGAGTACGGTTACAATTTTATTGCAGAAGCCTAAAAATTAATTTGGTTAGCTTTTGATGGTTAAAACTTACAGTAATTAATAGGATGCACAGAGGTCCTTGCTTTCAACGATTGGCACATCGGTACCCACAAGACATACCCACTTACACTGCTCTGATTTGATCTGGTTTCAGTCATCTTCCAGTTCCTTCCACAATTTTGGTGCCAATTACCTTCCAGAGATTCTTGATAGGGTTCAGATCAGGACTCTGGGCTGGTCATTTCATCACCATGATTTCTCAGCTTTGTGGAAATGCTTCACCCATTTTGCAGTGTGGTAAGGAGCATTGTTTTACATAAAAATGACTGGCTGACTGGGTGATGCTTGTAGGGAAGGAACCTCATGTTGCTGAAGGAGGTTCTGATGCTCATTACCTTACCATGTAGCCGCAGGTCGTCTGACTCCGGCCGCAGAAAATGTACCCCACAGCATAACGCTTACCCCTCTGAACCCTACAGACTTCTTCACACACTTTTAGTGGAATCTTTAACCAATTTGATGCCACACATAATGTTTCCTATCTGAACAAACTAAATTAAACTTGCTTTCATCACAGAAATAAACCAATGAACCAATTCCCTCCGAGAGTCTCCCTATCGTCCTGTTCACTCACACGTTCCTCTGACGTGGGTGACCAAGCTTTTTTGGGGACTTGAATGACTTGGATTCTTTGGACAGCTTCAATATTCAACAAATTAAGGTCTTTGGAGAGCTAACTTCCCTACCAATAATTAAGAGAATCATTGTGTCAGCCTTCACCTGAACAACCTGACGTCACTGGGTTTTGGTCACCTTGGAGAGGTCCACCATCTAGCAAAATGCCTATCAATGTTTCCAAATAGATTGGGGTTGCCAGATATTTCAGATTAGAACAAAAAAACTGTCAAGTATAAATTGTTCTCTAATTTTGATTCTCCAATTCTCACCTCCTTTGAATTCATTGTTTAAACCTTTAATGTAGTGATGTGCAAGTTCAGTGAAACATCTTTTCTATTCATGTTAAAAGACTTTGTAATTTACAAAAATGTCACTCATTCTCTAATTTTGATAACTACTGTATAACTAAGGACCATCCTGCTGTCACTAACATGCCAGTCCCACTTCGTGTGTCTGGGCACAGAACCAGACAGGAGCGACGCCCACCTTGCTGAATCTGCCGTAAGAACTTCAGTGTCTCCACCATGACCTGGGCCACATTTATGTGGTGTTTCTGGTGCTGCTGGAAAACACAAGGAACAAGGTTATGAACCTACTCAGGAAATCCCCCCAATAGCCAGGCAGTGTCTTTGATACAGGGTAGCACAGAACCTGAGAGTAAAAGGGATAGGACAGGGTTACAGCCTGGATAGGATGAAAGGCTTTTGCAGGTTCATAGGACACACACACACACACACACACACACACACACACACACACACACACACAC